AAAGACAGGTGGATTATCCTTATGGTTATTGTTAATTTTGAACCCATTTACCACCACCACCATAAGGCTTCCAGCTTCCAGGAGTGTGTGTGCACCCCACAAGTCGACTGTTGACTAATGAAAATGAAATATGCCTGATTGCTTTCCGTGATCCCCCCGAGTGAGCTTTCCCGCCTGCAGGCCCCAGACCCTGTATGGTTGGCGTTGCCAGGAGGAAGAGAGCAAACATCTGTTCGCTGATCTCCCCTAGCTAGAATGAACCCAGAATCAATGTGTAAAATGTAATTTCCAGCTTCTGTTGTCACTTTCCCTGGCCCTTGCTGCTACGGAAGACACTAATGGAGGGGGAGCTGTCCTTCATTAGCTTCAATAGAAGGCAGGTGAGACATTGGGACTCTAAAAGTCCCTGACGTCTCATTGAAGAGAAACTATCTTAAATATATATCACATAGTGGACATTCATCCCCTATGTGATATAAATACATTTTAGTTAAAGTAAAAAAAAAGTCAGCAAATAAAGTTCCACTCAAGCACCTGTACCCCCTGCAAGAAATCTGAGCCTTCCCTTCCCCTATGTGCATGCACACACAAACATAAACACACCTGTCAGGGGTACTTACATAAGAAAATGTTCCTTGTGATAAACTTGTTACATATTGGCGCACAAGCCAGAGTGAGATCAATAATTCTAGAGCTGTTATTCATGGCTAACTCTAACCTGATGACCCGTAGGGGCTTTTAAAGTATACAGCCCTGGCCAAAAGTTTTGAGAATGACACAAATATTAATTTGCACCACAAATATTAATTTTTACAAAGTCTGCTGCTTCAGTGTTTTTAGATCTTTTTGTCAGATGTTACTATGGTATATTGAAGTATAATTACAAGCATTTCGTGAATGTCAAAGGCTTTTTTTTTTCAACTACATTAAGTTTATGCAGAGTCAATGATTGCAGTGTTGACCCTTCTTTTTCAATACCTCTGCAATTCACCCTGCCATGTTGTCAATCAACTTCTGGGCCACATCCTGACTGATGGCAGCCCATTCTTGCATAATCAATGCTTGGAGTTTGTCAGCATTTGTGAGTTTTTTTTTGTTCACCCACCTCTTGAGGATTGACCACAAGTTCTCAATGGGATTAAAGTTTGGGGAGTTTCCTGTCCATGGACCCAACATTTTGATGTTTTGTTCCCCAAGCCACTTAGTTATCACTTTTGCCTTGTGGCAAGGTGCTCCATCATGCGGAAAAAGGCATTGTTCGTCACCAAACTGTTCTTGGATGGTTGGGAGAAGTTGCTCCCCATGTTTTTGTACCATTCTTTATTCTTGGCTGTGTTCTGTGACATGAATGGTCTCAGGATGCTTTACTGTTGACATGACACAGGACTGATGGTAGCGCTCACCTTCTTTCTTTTTTTTTACGGATGCCCCAAACAATTGGAAAGGGGATTCATCAGAGAAAATTACTTTACCCCGTCCTCAGCAGTCTAATCCCTGTACCTTTTGCAGAATATCAGTCTGACCCTGATGTTTTTCCTGGAGAGAAGTGACTTCTTTGCTGCCCTTGACACCAGGCCATCCTCCAAAAATCTTTATCTCACTGTGCATGGAGATGCATTCACACCTGCCTGCTGCCATTCCTGAGAAACCTTTGCACTGGTGGTGCCCCGGTCCCGCAGCTGAATCAACTTTAGGAGGCGGTCCTGGCGCTTGCTGGACTTTTTTGGGTGCCATGAAGCCTTTTGAACAATTGAACCTCTCTCCTTGAAGTTCTTGATGATTCGAAAAAATGGTTGATTTAGGTGCAATCTTAGCAGCAATATCCTTGCCTGTGAATCTCTTTTTTTTGCTGTATGTAAACCCTATAAAAGAAACCATTCAGTTTAAAATAGAAAAGAAAGGAAAACTTTTATACATACATTAAAAAATATTCTAAATACCTTTTTTTTCTCTTTTTTATAAGTGAAGACATACCTTCTGCTCTCCAATGCATAAGGAGCTGGGGGTGGAGAATTATTTTCCCACAGCAACAAGTTCAACGGTTGTTTTCCAGAGAAAGACATTTTATTTGCTTCCTGAATAATCCACAATACAGAGGTACAGACAAGACAGATGACAGGGTACTTAGAATATTCATGCAACTATCAGACACCTTCAGAGAACCCACTTTCTCCTGTCATAGCAAGCATAGAGGCACTACGCTCCAGTATTTATATCCAACCAATAATATGCACCTAGATACTGTAGTTTCCATGCATGCAATAATGTATGTTAACTTCTAGGCCTGTGCTTCCATAATGATGTTGTGTCAGCAATCAAAAAATCTTTTCTTGATATACAGTTTCTACCGCCATCTAAAAACAGCTGATTGGTTGGTCAAGCACTTTTCATCTTAACATGAAAAGATCTACAATTAAGCTACAACCCCCATTACCCAGGACAGTAAACATCTAACCAACTAACATTTTTTTCGTTACAGCTATACAGGTACTGTATAGCCTGTTGAGTAGAATTAGCCTAGAAATAGTCTGACAGCTCTATCAAGATTGATGACCCCCCTTTTAATGTGTAAATGGATGTCACTGGACTATGTATGTTCATTCAATATCAATCTATACACACACATATATACAGAATATATGAATACTGTGCTTCAAGAGTCACATATCAGGAATATGAAATGTATGGTTTACATATTCTTTAAAGCATCGTCTATGGAAAATATAGGAGTGTTTCTCAACCTTTTTTCAGTTAAGGCACCCTTTTAAATTATGCACAATCTTAAGGCACCCCACTCTAAAATGTAAAACTTAACTAATAGTTTTACATAATGTAACAATATCCACACATACAGTTGCAAGAAAAAGTATGTGAACCCCTTGGGATTATGTGGAGTTTTGCATGAATTGGGCATAAAATGTGCTCTGAACGTCATCTAAGTCACAACAATAGAAGAACACAGTCTGCTGAACATAATACTACATAAACATTACATGTTGCCATGGTTTAATTGCACATAACATGTAAACATTCACAGTGCAGGGAGGAAAAAGTATGTGAGGCCCTAGCTTAATGACTTCTCCCAGAGATAATTGGAGCCAGGAGTGAGCCAACCTTGACTCCAATCAGTGTGATGATATTGGATGTGTTGCTGACAGCTGTCCTGCCCTTAAAAAACACACACCTGTTTTGGGTTTACTGGTTTCAAGAAGCACTGTCTGATGTGAACCATGCCTCGCAGCATGAGGCATCATCAAAAGCTCTCAGAAGACCCACGATCAAGAATTGTTGAAGTTGAAGAATTGTTGAATTGTTGAAGTTGTAATTTTTTCCCACAATTCTTTGGAAATTAAAAAAAAATTAAATGTTTTTTTTTCACAAAAATGTTATATTGACACGTTCTCACACACAGCATGTGCATACTTGCTACTACCCCCAAAACCCCATGTCATTTTTTTCCACAAGTTCTTGGAAAGAAAATGAAAACAATTTGTTTCACACAAAGTTGTCAATTTATAAGATAATTATATGTAATTGATATGTACATACCAAGATTTTCATCCTAAAATACATTCTGATCCTCCTGAATATGGCAATACCACAAGTGTGAGACTTTTCCACAGCTTGACTACATAAAAGGGCCCACTATCCAAGTAGCACCTTCAGGCGTTCTAGTGGCCTAAATTACACATTTAATTTCAAAAGATCAGTCCAAGAGGCAGGCAAAAAACGTGGTCAATTAACAGGCCGAGGTCAGTTCAGGTGGAAGGCAGACTGGGGACAATAATAACTGGTGTCTCGTCTAACCTCTGGAGCACACGGAACATTGTTTTTTTCTACGTCTTTGACCTGTTTATCAGAAAAATGGTGCTCATGGAGTCTGTTCAATGCATCTTAGTGAATGGTTTCTGGTGGGCCTTTCAGGTACAAAAGGGCAGTGACAATATCCTCCTGGTATCTAAAAAAAGATTTGGGTCCCTGTGGATTTGCTGAATTGCCAAATTGAAAAGATAAATGGAAACTTTCTTGTGCTAATGGTGGATTCTTCTTGTTGCAAGGTAGGGGTGGATCATCTGATTGTTGTAGTCGACATCCCCCATGAACATAACGAGGTTGATTTACAAAAGGCAAAAAGGCTGTGCCCTGCTCTAGATCTGAGGGGAACATGCAAGGAAAATAAAAAAAATGCATTTTTGCTTGCACTTGATTGGATGAAAGAAACCAGCAGAGCTTTGCTTCATTTCAGAGCTTCCCCTCAGATCTAAAGCAACTGTGCTTGCAGTGCACAGTGTATTTACCTTTAGTAAATCAACCCCATTCATGCACACATTCTGGATTGGGTCATTCCTTCCGGGGATTTGCATGGAGGTGTCATTGTGGATTGAGGAAAGCATCTAGATGTCTCTTTTGTCCCACCACTTCATAGCCAATATTTCTTTATTCCGCAAGCTCACCAACTCCCCTCTTTTTAGTCTTGTATTCACTAGCCTTTGAGGGAAGGCCTTCCTGTTAGCTCTTACTGTGCCACATGCTAGTGTTTTGTGTTTTATTCCAGTGAAGATTGCGGAAAAGGGGCATGGTGGTATAATAGTTATCAGCGTATAGATGATAACCCTTTTCCAGGAGTGGGAATATAAGGTCCCAAGCAAAAAAAGCCATAGAGGGTTTTGAAGTGCATATGGTAGACTGGCATGGGCCCTAACCCTTTGGGACTGATGTGACACCCCACTAGTTCCTGGCCTTTCATGAGAGGTACTCCGTTTCTGGTGGATGCCACTGCGCTACTGTGGTAGCCTGCTCTTTGCCAGAATGCCTTAATTTGTTGGGCACACTTTCCTCTGATTCTGTAACAGTCCCACTACTTAAGACCAGTTCGTATTCAGACTCAGACACAGAGAGCTCCCTGCTGCTCTTGTCAGTCAAACTTAGGATTTAGTGTGCCTCCTCAGTGGTCAACAATTTTTAGACATAGTGGTGACTGTGGGCTGTGGTGACACTCAGCTGTGATGGGGACACTGGGATGTGGCTACACTGATAAGGAAGCACTGAGGTGCGCTATTGAGGATGCACTGGTTGACAGTGATGAGGCTACACTGATGGGTATTAATGAGGCTGTACTGCTGGGTACTGATGAGGCTGCACTGATGGGTGTTGGTGAGGCTGCACTGATGGGTGTTGGTGAGGCTGCACTGATGGGTGCTAATGAGGCTGCTCTGACGGGTGTTGATCAGACTGCTTTGATGTAAACTGGAGAAGATTCACTGATAGGCACTGATAAGGCTGCACTAAAGGGCACTGATGTGCACTAAAGAGATTGCACTGATGTGCACTATTGCACTGCACTGAGGCTGTACTGATGGGCACTGATAAGCTGCACTAATGAGGCAGCACTTATGGGTGCTGATAAAAGATCCACTGATGGGGTGGCACCAAAAAGCTGCAGTGATGGGGCACTAAAGGGCACTGATAATCTGCAGTGATGGGGCACTGATGAGCTGCAGTGATGATACACTTATGGGCACTGACGTGTGCTAATGCGCTGCACTGATGAGCTTGCACTTATAAGCTACACTGATGTACACTGATGAGGCGGCAATTATGGGTGCTGAGGAGGATCCACTGATTGGGTGGCACTGATGGGCACTGATATTCTGCAGTGATGAGGCACTGATGGGCACTAATAAGCTGCACTGATGAGGAACTCATGGGCACTGATGTGCGCTAATGCACTGCATTGATGTACACTGATGAGAAGGCACTTATGGGTGCTGATGAAGACGCACTAATGAGGCAGCACTTATGGGAGCTAATGAGGATCCACTGATGAGGAGGCACTGATAAGCTGCAGTGATAAGGCACTGATGGGCACTGATAACCTGCAGTGATAAGGCGCTGATGGGCACTGATGTGCACCAATGCACTGCACTGATGTACATTGATGAGGTGGCACTTATGGGTGCTGATGAGGATCCACTTATGAGGCGGCACTCATGAGAGCTGATGAGGATCCACTGATGAGGTGGCACTTGTGGGGTTTAACTGATGGGTACTGATGTGCACTAATAAGCTGCAATGATGAGGAACTGATGTGCACTAATGCACTACATTGATGTACACTGATGAGAAGGCACTTATGGGTGCTGATGAGGATCCACTAATAAGGCAGCACTTATGGGAGCTAATGGGGATCCACTGATAAGGTGGCACTTATAGGGTGGCACTGATGGGTACTGATGTGCACTGATAAGCTGCAGTGATGAGGCACTGATGTGCACTAATGCACTGCACTGATGAGGCTGCACTAATAAGCTACACTAATGAGGTGGCAAATATGGGTGCTGATGAGTATCCCCTGGTGGGCTAGCAATGATGAGCACTGATAAGCTGTGGTGAGATGAGGCACAGATGGGCACTGATGTGCACTAATGCACTTCACTGATCTACAGTGATGAAGCGAAACTTATGGGTGCTGATGAGGATCCATTAATGAGGCGGCACTTATTAGAGATGATGATCCGTTAATAGGTGGCACTTATGGGGTGGCACTAATGGGCACTGATCAGCTGCAGTGATGAGACACTGATGGGCACTGATGAACACTAAAGCACTGCACTGATGAGGCTGCACTGATAAGCTACACTGATGTACACTGATGAGGTGACAATTATGGGTGCTGATGAGGGCCCACTGTTGGGATGGCACTTATGTGCACTGAAAAGCTGCAGTGATGAGGCACTGATGCACGGCATTGATGTACACTGATGAGGTGGCACTTATGGGCACTGATGAGATCCACTAATGAAGCGGCACTCCAGTAATCCATGTCCTTAGTCTGCTTGTCTTCAGTAAACTGCGGGCTTTCTTGTGCATCATCTTTAGAAGAGGCTTCCTTCTGGGATGACAGCCATGCAGACCAATTTGATGCAGTGTGCGGCATATGGTCTAAGGACTGACGGGCTGACCCCCCCAACCCCTTTAACCTCTGCAGCAATGCTGGCAACACTTATATGTCTGTTTCCCAAAGACAACCTCTGGATATGACGCTGAGCACGTGCACTCAACTTCTTTGGTCGACCATGGCGAGGTCTGTTCTTAGTGGAACCTGTCCTGTTAAACCGCTGTATGGTCTTGGCCACCATGCTGCAGCTCAGTTTCAGGGTCTTGGAAATCTTATAGCCTAGGCCATCTTGATGTGGAGCAACAATTCTTTTTTTCAGATCCTCAGAGAGTTCTTTGCCATGAGGTGCCATGTTGAACTTCCAGTGACCAGTATGAGAGAGTGATATCACCAAATTTAACACACCTGCTCCCCATTCACACCTGAGACTTTGTAACACTAACAAGTCACATGACACCGGGGAGGGAAAATGGCTAATTAGGCCCAATTTGGACATTTTCACTTAGGGGTATACTCACTTTTGTTGCCAGTGGTTTAGACATTAATGGCTGTGTGTTGAGTTATTTTGAGGGGACAGCAAGATTACATGTTATACAAGCTGTACACTCACTACTTTACATTGTAGCAAAGTGTCACATGAAAAGATATAATAAAATATTTACAAAAATGTGAGAGGTGGACTCACTTCTGTGAGATACTGTATAAGGTGACACATCAAAGTAATATTTTAGACAATTCAAGCAGTATATCTGTTATATCCAATGACAAGTTTTACTACTTTTTTTTACAGCATTTGCTCCAGAAATCATGTGTGTGTTTCTTTTTCTTAGCGTGATCTACCTTCATTTCACTGTATCCCATCAGCTGTCCTATCTGAGGCGAGCAGTGCATGCTTAGTTTCCATAGAAACGAACACAGGAGGGGAGAGCAGGAATAATACAGACAAAGAATGAACTATCTAGATTTGAGCAGGAGAGAGAAATATGAATAAGGAATTTACTGCACTGAGACATTGAGAAAAGAGAAGGACCAAATGGGTAGAAAATGACTGAGCATGAATAAGGGTGGAATGGGCAGATGCAAGCATGGTCGCAAAGGCATGAAAGAATCCTGTGTACACAAAGAAAACCTGCCCGTGAAACAGATGTTTGCATTTTGAGATCTAAAACAAAGAATGCAAAAGTTAAAGTAAAATCCCTGTCAATATGAAAATAAATGCTTTCATTCTTTTACCCAAGGTCATCTTTATATTAACTTCTTAAAATCTCCAGCATACCAGGTTCTAAAATGAGAAGGCAATATAAACCACTTTAGTGTGCAGTGCAAACAATTCAATAATTTTTAATGTGCTGGAGGAAAAGTGTTTAAATGGACCTATAGGAGAAAATCTCATGTCATTCAAAATCAAGATAGAGATGTGGTCGCTGTGGTTATACAATTGGCAAAACGCAATTATTTGTAGGTTAAACATACACAAAAGGCTTTGCTCACACAGCTAACAAACCTGGATTTTGGTATGTATTTTTATAAAGTGACAGTTATTTTCAGTTGAGTCCAAAGAGATTTGAAGAATACAGTCAGATGTCTAAAATATAGAGCCTTAGACTTCCTGTACACGAGCAGCTCCTAAACTCGAGTTTAAGAGCTTTTGGCATTTTTTTGCCAAAGCTCCGAAACTCAACTCCATAAAAGCCTTCGTGTCCATGTACACATAGGCTTTTAGCAGAGTGTAGGTGAGGTTAGACCTTCCTCTCCTGAATGCGGAAGAATCACGTTCAGGATAGGAACGTTTTGACCACTGACTGCAGGAAACTGCAAATTGCTGCAAAATGCGGCAACCACAGTACCAAGATTTTTCCGCGGTTTTGCCACGATTCGCGTTTTCCTGCGGCCGGCGGTCAGGGTAGGCTTGTGTGCATGGAGCCTTATCCTTTTGTTAAAGCTTGTGAATTGCGCCTATAGTAATAATTGAAAATGATTAATAATTCATCTCTTGCATAAACAGATGACTTTTTGCATGCCACGTGCCTAGTCCTCATTTTACTATAAGTACCTGAGCATGGGGACTAAGGGGTACCACATTGGTCAGCTCTGTTGTCCTCTCTTGGATATTTGAAGGAAGATACATCTTCCCTTCGCAATATTTCTTGAATGGGAAGACTTGGTTGCGCTGTATAGATGACATTTCAGAAATCTAGACCAGTGTTTCCCAACCCTTTTGTCAGTCAAAGCACTCTTTAACTGCCTCCCACCTGCGGTATTGGGAAATGACAGACAGGCAGGAGCTGTCTTGTTGTCATATGACATCCTCCCAGTCTAGCTGTGCATGCGAACCCCTGGGGGGGTGTGGCGATCGGTGGTGCGCAATCGTGGTAAAGAGCCGATGACATAGGATCTTTACCATGTGATCACCTGTGTCCAATTACATCTCATCAAATGTAAACAAGAAATGCAGGTTATCAGCAGTCCTCTCCTCATGCTGACAGCGTGTGAGGAGAGGAGAGACGAAAAGTGGCAATCCCCAGAGAGGACATATCCACTGATAATCAGGGCAGTGATCACTAGTGCCCTGGTTATCTGTGCAACCCCATCAGTGCCTATCAGTGCTGCCTTTCAGTCCCTATCAATGATGCCACTCAGTGTTCATCAATGCTGTCTTTCAGTGCCCATTAGTGATGCCTGTCAATGCCCATCAGTGCCGCCTATCAGTGCTTCCTCACCAATGCAGTCTATTAGTACCCATCAGTGCCGCCTATCAGTTCCCATCAATGATTCCTGTCAGTGCCCATCAGTGCCACCTATCAGTGCAGCCTCATCAGTGCACATCAGTGAAGGAGAAAAATTACTTATGTACAAAATGTTATAACAGGAACTAAGAAAAACTTTTTTTCCAAAAATGTTGTCTTTTTGCAGTTGTTTAGCAAAAAATAAGAAATCTGGTGGTGATTAAATACCACCAAAAGAAAGTTCAATATGTCTCAACAAAATTATAAAAAATTTTGTTTGGGTACAGTGTTGCATGACCGTGCAATAGTCATTCAAATTGTGACAGCGCTGAAAGTTGAAAATTGGCCTGGACAGGAAGGGAGTGAAAGTGCCCAGTAGGCATGTGGTTAAAATTATGCACTTCATTCTAAAATGTAAAGCTAAACTAATAGTTGTACATATCATATCAACATCCACACACATATAGGACTCCCAATATTAGAGGTGATTTATTCATACAAAGCAAATACACATTTGCACACTGGTATTAGAATTTCAATGTCTTTCTTCTCCCTCAGTCAGCTAACAAGACAGTAAAACCAAAACGACATCTCCTGCGCTCAGAGACCCAGATCAGGAATAGGTGGATTGACC